CTTCATGCCTCAAGGTTTAAGTACATAGAAAAGATTCCCCCTATAATGACTGTCTACTTGAACTTGATAATGCTGATAAAGATGATCTCTCTTTCATGTAATCAGCTACATTGAAAAAAATCTTCGTGAGTCCTAAAATTGATCGGCGTCCGCATCATCCCATTGCCTAGGAGGTAGCATGACAATCAGATGCTGCTGAATGAAGGCACAAATGTCAGAGCTAACAGAGCCCTCCCTCAAAGATGAGAAAGTCCAACTCGCTCATTTTCCTAAGACTTCTGTATCAGTGAACAGTGTCTGAAGTGCTCAGCATAGAGCTCGGCCACAGGAAGTGCTTAGCCAGTGTTCACTGTTACTGTGACTACTCGAGGTCACATAGTTAGCTCTTGGCAGGGCCAGGAGCAGAACCATGGTTCCAAGGTGCCATCCGCTGCCTGTCGCTCTGGCCTGTTTTTCATCATGCATATCACCATCTGATACAGTCTAATATATTTGTTTTGCTTCTTGTCTGTGTCCCACCATAGAATATAAGCTCTGTGAGAGCAGGGACTTTGTCATCTGATTCACCCTGCATCCGGAGCACGGCAGCTTAGTAAGTAGTTGCTGAATAAAAGAATAAATTTAGAGGCCCGCAGGTAAACCTGTTGAAGAGTTGAGAAGGGAAAGGAAAAAAATTAATGTTTATAGGGCACCTGCTTTTAAGATGGTTTACTTATGAATGTTATCTCAGCTAATGCTCACAACAGCGGAGTGGTGAGGAAAACATTGCTGTTCCCATGTATTGGTGAAGAGTGTGGGGCTCAGAAGTTGGGTAACTCAGATCTATTTGCCTTCAAAGTTCATGCTATCTTCACTACTACAGTACCTCCCAATTAGATCAGATCTACGAATTTTCATGAAATGTTCCTTCATTCTAAGTGTTGATCCTATGATGTTTATTTTTTTCATTTTTTTTTTAAACTTTCCTTTAGGGGCGCCTGGGTGGCTCAGTTGGTTAAGCAGCCAACTCTCAATTTTGGCTCAGGTCATGATCTCAGGGTCCTGGGATTGAGCCCCACATGGGCTCCGTGCTCGGGGGTGGGGGTGGGGGGGGAGTCTGCTTGAGGATTCTCTTTCTCTCTTTCTCTAAATAAATAAATCTTAAAGCACACACACACACACACAAACCAACTTTCCTTTAAATCTAATCCCTGGGGCACCTGGGTGGCTCAGTCCATTGAGCACCCAACTCTTGGCTTTGGCTCAGGTCGTGATCTTATGGGTCATGGGATCAAGCCCCACGGCGGGCTCCCCGCTCAGCAGGGAGTCTGCTTGAAGATCTGCTCCTTCTGTTCCTCCCCCCAATCTGTCTCTCTCTCAAATAAATAAATAAATCTTAAAAAAAAACCCAAAAACTAATCCCTGAAAAAAACACATTCTGTAGGAAAGCATGCTATCTACCAGAGCCCCTGCACACTGTAGGAAGGCAGCTTGGAGTGGCAGGCACAGTCCTTGATTTGGTTTTACGGGATGTGGAGCCCAGGCCTCCCACTGACCACCAGAGGTGTGAGTCTTAGTTCCTTACCTGTAAAATAGTGACGTTAATACCTGCCTGCCTACCAGACAGAGTTGGTAAGAGATAATGTATGTAAAGCACCTAGCACTGTGCTTCATCAAAGAAAGTGGCCATTAAATGTTAACCACTATTATTGTTACTAATTCTATTAGTGTTATCCTTATTAATAGTAATCATAATACATACGTTCCTCAGAAGGGAAATACTTGTGAGCTTGTGTCTTGTCTGTGGTCCTACCTGGGATGGAGTTGGGGAGTCTGGAGTCATAGATTTTTTTTTAAAGATTTTATTTATTAATTTGACAGAGACACAGCGAGAGAGGGAACACAAGCAGGGGGAGTGGGAGAGGGAGAAGCAGGCTTCCCGCTGAGCAGGGAGCCCGATCCCAGGGCTCGATCCCAGGACCCTGGGATCATGACCTGAGCTGAAGGCAGACGCTTAACAGCTGAGCCACCCAGGCACCCCCTGGAGTCATAGATTGATTCTACCTAAGTCTTTGCTTTAGCTGGGACCCAAATCCACAGACTGCCAACCAGCTTCTGTCAGCCACCTCATTGAAGCATGTATTTGCTCAGCGAAGGGAGCTTGGCTTGAGAGAGTGGATGGATTAGGTCAAACCCATCACCACTTTTGGAAAAATAACCTAGATGGTAGTAACATTTAATAGTTTTGCGATGCCTTTTATGTTTTTTGGGTGTTTCCATGTGTGTTAGGTCATTTTTTTCTCATGTGTATGAGAAAAATAATATACTTTGTGGAGGCAACTTGACGTGCTTTCCCACAGCTTTGGCACTTACTGCATGTTCCTGGGGAAGTTACTTACCTTTGGGTGCCTCAATATCCTCAACTGTGGGGTGCAGTAGAAGGTTCTCATGAAGATTAAGGAGCTAACGTATGTAAAGTGCCTAGGACAATAACTGACACGTAGTAAGTGCTCAATATTAGAAGCTATAATGGAGTGCACAATTTCTTTCTCATTAAAATCTTTTTATGTGTTCTTGAAGGAACTATCCTTTATTAGGCATCTACTGAATGCCAAGTGTGTTTGCATACTTTCATACTTTTTCACATATTCCAGTTAATTCTCACCTGAGCCTCAAGAAACTTGATCAGGGCCACACAGCTAACAAGTGGGGCTGAAGTGAGCATTCAGGTTTCTGCTTTCCAGCCGTCTGCTTTTCCTAGGATACTACCATGCCCTGTACACGAGTTGACAATCCTAGAGCTGGTGGTGGTGTCTTCAGGGAGACGTGCAAGCGTCAGGGAATATGTACCTGCCTCTATCAAACAACTTTTGATTTTTAAAAGAAGTGATATTGCTGCATTTGTCTAGTATTTGGAATTGTTTAAAATAACACCAAAACACCTCTGTAAGTTTGATTCAATGCTATTACATTCAACTTTATGGAAGAACGTAACTGAGTGAAACTTACGACCTTGAATCACTGACCATGGGGGTTTGTTTGTGTCTGTGCCTTTTTCCAGTTCACTTGGAGATCTTGACCTTGGAGGCCAGTACTCACCTGCAATTCGTGTTTCTGTTATGTTTCACAGCTGAAATGTTACTCTAGGCCAGTAATTCTCAAACTTTCGTGGGCATCAATCTCCCCGAGGGCCTGTTACAGCACAGATTGCTGACCTCATCCCAAAGTTTGAGTCAGTAAATTGAGGACACCCATAATTTGCATTTTTTCCCATGTGATGCTGATATGGTGGTCTGGGTACCACATTTTGAGAACCAGTTCTCTGGACCAGGAGTTGACAAACTTCTGTAAATGACCAGACGGTAAATATTCTAGGTTTTGTGGGTCGTGCAGTCTCTGTCACAAATAATCAACTCTGCCACTCTGGCTCAAAGGAGCCATAGGGCGTCATAAGCGAATGAGTGTGACTGTACTTACGGGCATTGAAATTTGAATTTCATATAATTTCACGTGTTACAAAATACTGTTTTTCTTCTTTCTTTTTTGCCCATTTATAAATGTAAAAATCATTTTTAGGTTGTGGACTGTACAAAAACAGGCAGCAGGGCAGATTTAGCCTTTGGGCTATAGTTTGCCGACCCCTGACATGCAATTGTGACATGTTGGGGAATTTTCAAGCTATTGTTTTAATTATAAAAGTAATGCATGCAGGTGGGTGGTTTAAAAAATCTAACAGTGGGGCTCCTGGGTGGCTCAGTCGTTAAGCATCTGCCTTTGGCTCAGGTTATGATCCCGGGGTCCTGGGATCAAGCCCCGCATCGGGCTCCCTGCTCAGCAGGAAGCCTGCTTCTCCCTCTCCCACTCCCCCTGCTTGTGTTCCCTCTCTCGCTGTGTCTCTCTGTGTCAAATAAATAAATAAAATCTTTAAAAAAATTTAAAAATAAAAAATCTAACAGTATAGAAGAAAATAAAATGAATCAGGAAGACTTCCTCTCCACCCCAGGCCTAATCACATGGCCCAGAAATAACCACTGTTGATGAATATCAATTTTCAGAAATTTTATAGGGATTTACAAGCTTACATAAATGTATAAATTCTTTCTTACATCAGTGAGCTTTTTATACATATTGTTCAGCTTTTGTCCTTTCCCTAATAATGTATTGTGGCCTGTTTACATATCAACACATAGAAATAAATGCTTTAGCTTATTCTTTAATAGCTTGATAGTTTTCTGTTGTGTAGATATACCATACTATATTTCACCAGTCCCCCACTGATGGACATTTGAGTTATTCCCAATTTTTTTCTACCACAAAGTGAAGGTACGTCTTACATCCATTATTGCATAATATCTGCAAGGTAAGGTCCTAGGAGATGAGTTGCTGAGTCAAAGGATATGTGCATTTAAAATTTTGATAGCTATTTCTAAATTCCTGTTGTGGGCACGTTAGGACCCTACATTCATTTTGCTTCAGGGTCACACCCTACATTTCTAGTTTTTAGTCTTTATCTGACTTGAGCATTCATCATAGTGAATTTTGGTATAATGGCTCGCTGCACGTGAACTTAACACAGAGTAGTAATCCTATCAAGGGCAAAAAGTGCAGCTGGCCATTTGCCCATGATTCTTGAAAGGAAAATGGCTTTAAAGAATATAAAGCCACCCAAGCAGTGCCCTGAATCTAGGGTCATCCTGGACATTGCTGGGGAAGGTACCACAGCAGAAATTGTTCTTTTCGCAGACCTGGTACTTAGCAGATGCTTCTATATGTTTGTTTCCCATCAGAGTGGAGTTTTCCATTGTCAAACATTTATGTAAACATAGTATTAGCCAATAAATGTGCTGTGCTATTATTGTACTAGAACTCAGGATATCACCGCTTTCCTTTCTATTTGGGGCTTTTCCTTTTTGAGCCAGTCAAGGATTAGGACAATGATTTAATAGACAACAATGCAACATCTTAAAATGTAGCACTGTGTTAGGTTTTTTAACTTAAAATATGCCAATTTCTGCTCATAGGTTGTCACAGAATTTTCTCTTCACCACTCAGTCATATCTACTTACACAAGCAGTCCAGCAGTCAACAAAGAAGAAATTTCTTTTTCCGGAGACAAAGAGAGATTTCCCACAGTGTAGTTTTGCCAGCTGCAGTTTCTTCAGCTCACCCAGTCCCTGAGGTACCGTACTGCCCTATTATCTGCTGCTTTTTCTAGCCAAGATGCAGCTTAACCGCAGAAGCAATGAAATGTCTTTGCACCTTTGATTTCTGAGCCATTTGAATCATGATTTTTAAACTTGGTTTGTGATCTAAAATCGTGATTTGAGAAGCTATAACATCTGCAGTTCTATAACATTATTATTTTTTTTTAAATAAAGCTCTGGGCTTACCGCTGCTTAGCTTGTTTAGAATTAGTTTCTACCACGAAATTTTCTATATTAAATTTCTAACACAAAGGTAAAAGCACATGTCTACAGTTTCTTAACTTTTTTAGAAAAAAAAATTGACTATTCAACTGGGATCATTCAAGAGAGATTACTTGAAACTGGTACACTAGGTGTTATTTCCTAAGCCTGCTCTCAGACTTTCCACAGTATTAATGCTGCTGTTTGGAACCCTCCTTTAGAGTAAGGAAATAAAACCTCTCGCCTCAGAGCGTTCTTGATTTTTTTCTCAGAGACTACAATTCTGTGGAAAGACAATCTATCCACGTTTCAAAATGCAAAATAAAGGAGGCGTGGGGGTCATGTAGGAAAAACGAGAATAGCTGAAAGAAGTCTAGCCTTGTCACAGAAGTCACCTGCCTTCTCCCTTTGAGGCATTTTTTTAACAGTAAACCCACATGAAGTATGTTATACTCCCTGAAGGTGAGTGGCCCTTTTTGTGTGTGTGTGGAAAGGGGCCAATGAGACAGGCTACCAGAGCCCAGAGGATGTTCCTGGTGTTTCCTTGGTGGCAAAGGAAAGGAAGTCTCCAGAGACATGAATGTATTCTTTTAGAATGTCAGTGACAACCCAGGAGCCCTCTGCCTGTGACTGTAACCTGGCCACATCACAGAGCAGAGTGGAGACAGGAGCACGGTCTGTGGGGGAGACTGGGCGAGCTTTAGAGGGCACTGGTGGCAAAGCTGTAGGAGTAGATGCCTGCCCTGAGCTCAGCCGTGGCTACCCAAGCCCTGGCGTGCTCTGGATCAGAAGGGCCCATCTGCACACAAGAATAGGTGAAGGTCTTATAAGTGAAGGTGTGATGCACTTCACAAAGAGCGGACCCCTAACCTCAGCCCTGCCAGAGTCACTGTGATGTCAGTTGAAGAGCCTTGTCTCCCTCAGCTTCCTGTCCCCAACTGCTGTGTACCCTTTCCTGGGTACAGCTCCACAATGCTTATGTGGCAGTTTCCATAAATAGATTGTAAAGAGCTGAGCATAACCTTGGGACTGAAAGAAGCTCTGTGTGTAAAATAGTATTTATTTTCTGAATACTGCCCATAGGTTTAAGGAAGCAGTGGAGAACGTTCTACAAGGGTGATCAGAGTGGAATGTTTTGAGTTTGGGGCGTTTCTTTGTTTGTTTTTGACAAATGATGGAAATGTTCTAGGTATTTTTTTTATGTACTTAAAAAAAGAATGAAACAAAGACAAAGAAAAGAAAGCTGTTGGGTTTTGTTCTCTAGTCCCTTCTTAGTTTGGGTGCAGTTGCCGAGTGCAAGAAAAGTGTATACGTAATAGGCTTCAGTGGACTTGAGAGTCAGCCTTTTACATATATTCATTCGGAGAGGGTGTTGTGAGCTATCCTTTGCATAAATTTTATCTTTGTGTTAAGAAGATGAAAGTGCTCTTAATTAGCCATTTGGCAATTTGGAAGCTTCGTGCTCTTTTTTCCATCAACGGCTAGAATGCTTCTTACAGGGTTGGGAGGAGGAAGAAAAGAAAACTACTGTTTGTTTTGACCAGAAGTCTACTTCAGACCAGTTTGACTCAAAGCACAGTAAGGTTAACAGACCATCCAGAGGCAGCACTAACAGGCAATGTTAAGTTCAAAAGGGCAAGGGAAGGAACTGGGGGCAGCCTGGAGGGTCTGTCGTGCTGGCTTCGGAGGTCGGGGCTCCGGCAGGAAGGGCAGAGCTCCATGAAGCAGGAGGCTGTGTCTGAAAAAATGATCCCATTGTCGTGTGCTGGGTTCTGATCTTCATTTTCAATCCTTTTTCCTCAAGCACATAAAGAAGCCAGACTATGTGACGACAGGCATTGTGCCCGACTGGGGAGACAGCATAGAAGTTAAGAATGAAGATCAGATTCAAGGGCTTCGTCAGGCTTGTCAGCTGGCGCGACATGTCCTCCTCCTGGCTGGGAAGAGTTTAAAGGTGGCGTCTCAGCAAGCCTCAGAAGGACATACATCAGGGGCAACACACTCTCCTCTTTTGCCTCTCTCCCTTTCACTCTTCTTGTGTACACATCTAATTTGTTAAAAAATCAAGTCAAGCCTTGGGATGGGGGAAGGGGATTTTATTATTTTGTGTGTTTATTCTAGAGGTAACTTAAAATCCAAATTCAATTTTAAGTAGCAGGATTCTGGAGATACTTTGGGCCCAATCAGCCTATCCAACTTGATCAATGGCAGACAGCTTTGACTTCTGCCCCCTTATTCCCGCCTGTAGTTTCTGCTTTTACTGCCCACATTATTTCTGGGTGCCTGAAGAGTTGTTCTCCCTTATCCTTTGTCTCCTTTTTCCTTGCATTAGCTCTGCAAAGCAAGATTAGAGCATATAGACAAAGCTACGGGTAATACAGAAATGTGATTACGACAACTACCTTACCACAAGATTTAGTTCTTCCAGAATAATCTGAAACACTCTGCTTTATAAGGATCATTAAAAAAAAAAGTATGGGCCTGTAGTTTCCAGAAGGTGGGCAGAATTTAGGAAGTGAGTCTCAATGGTGAAATCACTTAAGAGTTTTGTGTAATAAACTTGTCATAGCAACATAACTAAGCATAATGTGAATATCAAATAACACAAAGAAAAATATTGAAGAAATAGGTAATTTTTAATAAAAGATTTTGTTTTAGAATCTTATTTATGACTTATGAGTTTATGGAGGTATCTTCGTGTACTCATAAAACTCAATTTTAGGGGTTTTTTTGTTTTTTTTTTTAGTTTGAGAGCAATTGGATGCCTTCTAATAAGAGAAATATTTTTTAAAAACACAATGGATTTACTTAGGCATGAAAGAAAGCAAGATTCGTGAAAACCAAATTTCTACAATATGTATCAGACTGAGTTTTTAAAATAATGATCCATAATCTTCCCATCATTGCTGCAAAACCCATGCAAAGTTTCACTGAGATAAAAAGGTGTGGGTTGACCTACTTTTTCAAGCTTTGTCATCTAAACTGAAGCTACTTTTGAGAATTTATTTATATGCTTCAGCTAGCCTGAGGCACTAACCCTTGAGGAAGAGGAAGGAATTGCCTAGGAACATATTTGTGAAGTGTTCAGGCTCAAAAGGAGTCATGTCATTTAATGACTCACAGATAATTTAAAGGATCTTAGGGCTTACAGTTTCCACCTCCTCACAGCCCATAACACCATTGTATACCCAAACGACTGTCAAAAAGGCACAACTTAAATATTTCAGGTTAATTGCCATTAATCAAAATGTATCACAAGTTTATCACAGTAAATCTGTACAGTCTCATCTGAGAGTGCTGTAGCTATAGACATGGTCAGTGAGGGCAGGAAATGTCTTCAACTGTTGCTGCACAATTTCTTTATTTAATATTTTAGGTTGACATGACAACTGAAGAGATAGATGCTCTTGTCCATCAGGAAATCATCAGTCATGATGCTTATCCCTCACCTCTAGGCTATGGAGGTTTTCCAAAATCTGTTTGTACCTCTGTAAACAACGTGCTCTGTCATGGTATTCCTGACAGGTATTTATTGCTTAATAACATATTGTTCCTTTGGAAACTAAAACATGAGACTGAGATCTATAACACATGTTGAAAGACACTAGCTTAATTGAAACCCACCTGCAAACTTGTGAAACTGATTAGGGTAAAACAAAAATTTTGAAGTATTTTGCTTCTAGGTGGACATATATTTAATGTTTGTTAAAGGAGTGTATAATCCAAAAAGATCATTGTTCCTTAAATATTTATTTTACCTTCTTAGATTTTAACCATATAAGTGGTAAAAATCCAAATGTAGGCAAATATAGGTTATCAACTATTGTTTCAGCTCTTCGCAAAATTAAGGTAACTGATAAGTACATTCTTTTAAAGAATTTTTAAAAGATTTTTAAACAATGGCAATATGTTCATATGCTGTATTTCTTATAAAATTGGACGTGACTGACGTAACATAAAGACTAGATATAGTTTTTCCATTTATTGCTCTTCTACTCCGAATTATCATTGCAATTCACTGGGCTTGTGATAGTCTTAGGTATTTATTTTTACATTCCTCTTATTGAGATCTGTCTATCACCATTTTTATTCTGTTTACGTTTCAGCCGACCTCTTCAGGATGGAGATATTATCAACATTGATGTCACGGTGAGTAAATAATATAAAAAATAGTCTTTGATCAACTTCAGAATTGCTGGTAGCACCAGGAAGAATTGTGGCTTGAAAATGCGAGCCGCACCAAGGGAAGTGCTGTTTACTTCTAGACCCAGACGCAAGCAGCTGGTTTCCTTTTTTGTCTTTAACTCCGTGTTTATTCCAAGTAAACCCAGGCCTGACTTGAATTTAGGGCTGGAATCAGATGCACTGAGATCAATGTTGGCCTAAGTGAAATGTCAACCCAATCCTGCTATGTGTCATGTTTTTGAGAAGGTGTAATTGTTATTGATCCACTGTGTAGTTAATGCAGAGCCACCGCGGCACTGGGCAGCTGCTGAAGCCAGATATGTATGAGATGAGCTAACACGAAGAAAGCCAGCATTTTTCCTTCACTCTGCCAAGATTGATCTTCCTCTTCCTGCTGATTTTGAGTGGGGCCTGTCATTATCTTACTCTGTCATTAGGGGCTACATTGGCCTGTGTGTGTCAGTCTATTTGGACAGCAACTCTTTTGCTAGCAGTGTTCCTTAGATTTAGTAAAATCCCTGAAGGTAACGTCGTGTTCCATTTGTGGCAGAGAGGGTATAGAGAGCCTTGAACTCGGAGCATACGAGCGGAGTGGTTTTCTCTCTGAACCTAACTTTTTACCACATGGTTAACAGCCTTTCTTTTAAATAACAACCCAAAGTGATTTAACATGGGAACTTCAAATTGTACAAGCTCTAACCTTTTCTAATTCCCTCAGCCTTTCACTACTCTCAGACTTGGATTATTTGCGCTTTGGCAGTTCGTTTTACTAAAAAAGTTTGTAATGGTCCCTTTGGATTATGTAGATTGTAAATAAATTGTATACATCTGATGATTAATAAATAAGGTTTAAATACAGAAATAAAATTTAATCATCTGATGAGAACTAGTTGCGATAGACACCATTCAAGGAGTATAGCTTCTATGAATGAGGAAATATTTTCCATAATAGTTATTTTGTATCCCCACCATGAACTTAGGTAGGCGAGAGAATGAGGTGGAAATTGGCATCCGATAGTTGAGTTCGGCCAAATTTTTAGTTGTTTAAATTAACTCACCCTCTTTTCTTCATATCAGTTTGTATGGTGACATAGCCAATGATTCCTTTATTGCTGCTACTCTTTCATATATCATTTTGTCCTACTTAGAATACTTGAACATTTGCTCCACATATATTCTGTTGGTTTATCTTTCCAACTCAGAATCATGAAGGAGGAGATATTTTATGAAGTATACCTGAAGTAAAGTATTTTTCCTGATATACTTTTCTTTTGAATTGTAACTGATTTGGGGTTTGTACATTTATTATCTCACCTAATCACCCCCTAATAAAATATTGCTGCTTTGAATGAAATCAGCACACTCTTTCCTACTGCTCCCAGTGCATCCAAAGAGAATATTCCATGCCTTTTCTGTTTCCTGAAGACTTTTAATACATTTTTAACATTCAAATATTTCACAATTGCAGAAACTCAAAGCAATGTGAAATACTTCAAGTGTCTAGAAATATGAAGGAGTCAAGAAAACATATTGGTCTCTATCTTAATAAATTCTGTATTTTTTACCCCTCCCCACAAATTATATTCCCTGTGAGATATGTTATTAAGTGAAAGACTCCATTATCAGATCCTATACTTTTATCAGAAAATACTCGTTATGCATTTTATAATTGTTTACATCTAGTATATACCACAATAAAACAGACTTCTTTCCCCCTTGAAAGTGAATGTTAAAAAAACAGACTGTGAGATGCCTAGAGTAGTTGCTCAATAAATATTTGTTTAATAAATGAAGTACAAAACAAGAATACTTTGTAAGCATAAACCCTAATTATAGATAACTGCCACAGACTTTCAGAAGTATTGTTATTCTCATATATATTGAATCTTTCACATATTTTGAAAGCTAGCAAAAAGTAATGTAAAAAGGCAAATAAAGATTTTTAAAAATATTTTTTACTTAAATAACAGTTACATAAACACTGAATTATACATTTTTAAAACACGCTTATATTAGTAACTATAATATATTTGTGTATAAAGTCAAACTTGTACTTTCTTGGATTGCAAATGGGGAAAATATATGAAACACTACTCTATTGCAAGGTAATTAAGGTCATTTGACACATTAGAGAAAACATTTGTTTAGAAGCCAATAATCCATCATGTTAATCTGGATCTACCTCTGTATTTTGCCACCAGCCTTAGACAAGTTACCTGTTTATGCCTCAGGTTGCTGACTTATAAAGTGAAGACTGAATAAAGACTTTTCCTGCTTCCCTTACAGGGTGTAGTAGAGTATTTTTTTGGTGCAGAATAGTATATAGATTAAGACATCAACTCAGTATTAAGATAGACAGCTCAGCTAAATACCTTTTTTTATAAGTTTCTGCATTTTACTTCATGAGAAAGAGAAATGTGAAAAACAATTACATAGGTAAAATTTATGCAAAATAGCAAATTCCATGCTATATCTAAGGATCAATATTCAACCAGTCCCTTCTACCTTCTATATTTATTACAGTGTTTGTTAATTATTGATTTTTTATAATGAATCTGGTGTCTTTCAAGATCCTATAAGGCCTACTGAATCATTGACAACTGATAAAATTATATTTTCTGTAATTTTATTCTTAAGCCTATTTTGTTATATTTTAATCCTTTAAAAACCCATGTATAGTGTTTTCTGTTAACATTCTGCTATCTGGACCATTTGACTAAGGTTTCACTTCCAGACAGGATCTTTCCCTAACATATTTCATTCCCATATTGAGCCACTTCAATTCTTGGAACGAAATTCTCCTACTGTTTAATACTGACATGTCTATTTTATTTCTTCTTCTTATTGTCTATCACTTCCAAATGTAGGATTGGTAAATGAAAGATCAAGTATCTTCATGACACTGAAGAAACTTTTCACTATGTTAAATACTTCTAGGTTCTCTAGAGCTATTGTAGTAATTGTGGGTCAATGTCTTTGGTCACTAATTTATGCATGTATAGTTTTGTCTTCTCAGAAATAAAATGAGGAATCAAAACATTATACTAGCTTTGCTATTCATAATGCTGAAATCGCCATTCTAGTTACGTATTTATTTTTAGATTTTGTAATATCATCGTGTATGGTTCATCTTTTTAATTTCTGTAAGGCTTTAGCATATCCTCTTTTTTTTTTTGTAGGGAAATGAGAGTGATTCTGGAAGGGTGAAACATATGAATCTACTAAATACATAAATGAACACAATATATACTTTTGGAGAGTACATTTTTAAACAAGGACATATTTTAAAATGTTTGCCTGTGTTTAGGTCTATTACAATGGCTACCATGGAGACACCTCCGAAACGTTTTTGGTGGGCAATGTGGATGAATGTGGTAAAAAGTTAGTGGAGGTTGCCAGGAGGTGTAGAGATGAAGCAATTGCAGCTTGCAGAGCGGGGGCTCCCTTCTCTGTAATTGGAAACACAATCAGGTAAGCCTTACACTGACAAGTAAAGGGAGGGTTGGCAAATGGTACAAAGGTTATTGGTGGCTTGGTATAAAATTGATGACATGTTTTATGATTCAGAACCATCATTTCAGTCTGATATCAGTATGTGAACTGCCAAGCTGCGGTGTTGTTCCCTGGGTTTAAAAAAAGAGAGAGAGAGATTTTAAAACAGTGAATTATACTAGGGTCAGCAGGAAACTTACAGGAGCAGCAAGCAATATTTATATGACTGCTTTAGTTTTAGCTCGACATATTGGTCTGTAGTGTTCCTTTACCCAAAATCACACCAAACATGGAAGAAAGTACCTAAGAAGGGGATAAGCATCCCAACTCTTGGATAATGAAACAGGAGAAAAGCTAAATTTTATGAGGAATGAAGTGAAACATATTCCTGTGATACAGAGATTAAAAAAACATTAGCTCAAGCAAGCCTTACCTTTCAAATTAGTGGATTAGCAAACAGGCTGAAAGGGTGAGCTTATGTCCTTTTCTTGTCTGGTTCATTTTTTTCCCTGTAAACAATTGTTTATTTTCCAAATAGTATTCTATGCTTGCTTTTTGAGTATATGTGTATTTTCTGAATTCAAGACTTTTCCCCGTAATCTGTTACCTCCTTTTAGATCTTTTCTTTTAACCCCCGTAACTGTTTTGAAGTAGACATACAGAATATGTGTTTTCATTCAAAAGTAATGCATTGTGTTAAAGATGATCACATCAGTACCTTTTAAAGTACTGTTCTCATTAATATGAACCATTGAATACTTCCCGTTTGTCTCAAGGATGGAAGGCTTAGTCACCTTGAAAAGATGCTGCCTTTTTTCTTCGTAAGCCCTCAAATACTTTAAGAAAAAAGGCAGTAAAATATCAGTTAAATGTATTTATGGCTTTAAAAATATTGTAACAATGTCTGAATCAAACTTTAGTAAAATCTCTTTGGGTTATATCTGAGAAGCTTTTATTGAAGACTTTGAACAAAATTGTGTTTTTGACAGTTTTAAATTATAGGCTAACTAGCCTGGGAAAAAAGGATAGTGTCTCTCTGTTCTTTCATAGGAAATGTTGAATCAGACCCCTACTGGGAAAAGAAATTTAATGCATATCTCACTATCTTACTGTCCATGAATATAATAGAAATGAATTCAAAATGCAGTTTTATTTTTGCAAATGGGATGAGTCGATAGATGTATCTCATATTTTTGAACACCTAGGGTTCAACAAATTTACTGGTGGTGCTCTTGCATTTTAACAAAATTTATTCTTCAGTAGAAGGGGGCAGAGAACACTAGATTCTTATTCAAGCATTCTATCGAGCTCTGCATTCATGGCTGTGTCTAAAGGGCATGTCAGCCTTTGATTCTCTCTGAGAGGTAATTATCCTTTTCCTGTCACGGAACAACAAATGATAGCTAACTACAGAGGCACATTTGCAGTAGTCACATTCATCAACTGCAGGAAAAAAATTCAATTTAATTGTGCAACACAGCTGCACATGGGCTTTTGAGCATTTCTGTTGTTCTCCCTGTCTCGCTATTCCTCCCTCCAGATCTATTTTTTAAACTTTTTTTTTCTGGTTATTTTTTCCCCTTTTTGTCTCTTCTTCCATTTTTACTCTCTGTACTTTCTTGTTAAAGTAATTTTCCTTTGTGGCTCTCATTCTTTTTTCCCCATTGAAGGCTATGAATGTAGAAAATTATCACAATTACTCATATAATTGAGCCTCTTTGTAGCAAGTGCAACTCCAGTAGCCTTTCTCCATCATGAAAATGGTTTCATTATAGGGTTTTTCATATTCTCTGACACCATCTACACAGAGGAACAGGCGTGCAGATGAGATGTGCTAGGAACAGGCTAGATCAGTAAGGTCACAGTAGGAATAATTAGCTCTGCTATGGAAAGAGCATCTAGGCCTTTTACTGCTACATAAATGTACTGTCCGTGGCTTTTAGTCACAAAAAAACTTACTAACAAATGGAGCTCCCGCCTACTACTTTGAAAAAAAGATTTGTATCAACACTACAATTTTCCATCATTAAGACTAATAACACAGAGCCTAGTATACATCAAGGGGAATAAAAAGAAAAATCTCACATTCAAGTGGCGGCTGGGTGCTGACCTTTGTTCCCTTTTTTTGTGTACGACTTAACTCTTTACAAAAAAGAGCCACACGCCACACCAACATGCAGGTGAGCTCCAGCTAGTACTAGCAAAGCATAGCATTCAGTTGGAAAATCTGATAAATCTCCATGCAGGATAATGCATTTCATTACATATTCACTACATTAATTCTAGCTACATTAAAAAAAAAAGAAGAAGAAGAAGAGTAGAATTGAAAGTGACATTGGATTTTAGCTCTTTGGATGCAAAGGTCAGTTTTCCCAGAGTATGAACTCGCATGTACAAGCTCCTTTGAAAACCAGATCAGCCCCAACAGCTACACTTAGAAAACTATGTGAAAAATAATAGACAATGAACTTTTTACTTGTACCCTGATACATTTCATTATTTAGATGGTTTCTGTCTGCCACCGGGGACTAACCAATGTTAAGGCGATGTTTCTGGACATCTATTATTTTGCCTTTTCTTATTCAGGCAAAATCTCAAGGGAGTAAATAAACAGTCTCCACCTTTAAGCCAAAAGTACTTGGAATCATTACAGACCCAAGGTTTACAAACATCTTTCAAGTCAGTCTCATTTATTTTAAGATATTCACCGTCTTTTGCATAGCCTCCCTCTACTGATACACCACGAAAAGAACATTCAAGCTTCTTTTATTTGTAGTATGTTACCAAAAACCTAGTGATCTTTAGGGGGAAATTTTGAAATTCTCTGAAGCCTGGAAGGGTAGGAGGATATCTCTGAAGAAGTATTGGCTATAATAGTTTAATGAAAAGAGTTCTCTGTGTGCCCTTTTTCTTCATAAGGGATGGCTAGTGAACTTTAGATTACAGTGTTATTATGCTCACTGTACCTACATTTGCTTTAAATTATCTCTAAAGCTGTATATTCAGATTATCTCTAGATGATATGATCTGTACATGAGAATATTGTGAATGTGTAGATTCATGCATCCCAAATATGTGACAGTTCAATCAAAAATAATTTAAACTTATAGTTCTAAGTGTCATGATGAAAGTATCAATAAATGGTTTTTAATGTTTAATTCATAAGTATATGTTTTGATATTAATTTAGAAGAATATAAAGCAGATTTTTAAAAATAATCTCTTTCTATTAGATTATGCACATTTAAACAATAAGTGGCTCAGGCAAAATAAGTCATTTTAATGTCATCTGTGATGGATTTTTCTTGACAGCTACTGTAAATTACAATTACACTGCTTCTCTCGGCACATGAAAGTAAGCACTGCAATAAATTATCTTTTATTTCAATCCGTCATGTCTGCTTTTCGGAAACAGAAACCTCAAATAAAAGTTCAGCACTATTGTAAGAAAAATACAGTAATTTGTGTTCCAGCTTGAAACAAAAAAATATACCACTCTTTTGGAAAACAGTTGTTGGCTTTTAAAAATATTACTAATTGTACTTAAATATTCCATGTCATTAGAGGGAATCCTTAGACTTGTGCATTCCTTCATTCAAAGACTACTGTTTAAAATAAAAATCTGGAAAGACCGAACTTGGAAAATCAGGGGCCATTTAATTAGAGATGTGACCGTTTGGAAATCAGTGCTCTTTATAGGATTCATGTAAAAATGGTGATAAAACTATTTCCGTGTGCATTTTTATTTCTTGAGAAGAGTATGCACTTAAACATAGTACTCCTCTGCCCTCTTGGGGAATGTGTTCTCCGTCACAAAATGTACTTGAAATGTATTAAGAATTTTAATTTATCTACACAATACTTCAGTTGAGGAAAACTACCTCATGAAAGGGAATTAAATGGAAGAAAACGGTCACAAGATGAAATTCCTTAAGAGAGGAACCGTAACCGAAACATGAACTGTAATAATAGGATGATTTCAAAGTAAGTTCAGAAACTACATTTGTACACCTTCTTCTTCCTCTCCCCTCTTCTTCCTCCCCAAATAGTCCCTATGAAGGACTTCAAATCATAAATGAGCTCAGGCTCATGGGTAAGTGTTGTACTGTCTGAGAGGATTTTTAGTTAGAGAAAAACCGGAACAGAACATCTAATACCAGGAGAATTCTTTTCTTCAGTAGGTTTCGCAGAAAGAAGGCAGATCTCCTGAGTGGGAATGTCCAGGGCAAGAAGACCCTCAAGCTCAGAAGGGGTCACAGCCCTGTGAGGCCTGGTGCTGGGGAGTGGCCGCTACGTTTCTTGGGCAGCCCTGCCCACCCAGCTGTTTCCATTTCCCGCAACACACCAGTTAAGGGAAGCACATGTATGCTCCACCTTCCCATGCCGCCACCTGCTACGACAGGTCACTTGGATGGTCTCTTATGAAGTTAGATTTAAGCCCTAGAATCAGGGCAGATAACCTTGTGCTTCCCGTATATTCCAAAATAGTAGAAAGGGCATGATTTTAAATAGGAAATAGGAACATTAGTGAGATTTGATCCCATTTAGTCCCAGTAAGTATGCGTTAAAAAGCTCACTACAAATCCAAAAGGGAAATACCCTGAAAAGCAGACAGAACTATATACTTAGCTCCTGGGAATCAAGCATTGAGATGGGTGCTCAGCCAAGGAACTGAGCGAAATTTGTCCTGTGCTTTTCCTCCTTCCACCCGGCTGTGAAATCCTGACCTTTGCATTCATGACACATACATTCTATGATACTCCTATAACCGTAAGTTCCAGCAGGATTCAGGCAGTAAATTGTTGTAGGAGAATGCACTCAAATATCTTTAGCCACCTTGTAATTGCACGGCTTCTTTTATGAAGAGGGATGAGAGGTGTGATGGCGGAGGGACCCCAAGTGTTTTTTCAGAGTGGGCTTTCTTCCTCTCCTCTCATCAGAAATTAAAATGAAGATTGCCATTGTAATACACATTTAAGATGTAGCCGTGATGCCTGCCAATCAGTTAGATCCTAGGGTTTTTTTTTTTTTCTTTTAAGGAAAGAAAATAGAACAGTTTATATTGAATGTTTTTAGAATCATTGAGGTTTGTTGGGACTGAAGTCACATAATTTACAGGTTTAGGTAGAACCCATTCTTGTAAAAAAAAAAAAAAGTCTAGATCATTATTATCTTATCTGATAATCTCTCTTTCACCCTCTCTCCACTCTTCCATTCTCAGTTTTTATTCAGAAATTGTGTGGTCCAGATAGAAGCACCTTGGAAAAGTTTTTATACCTCCTGCCCCAAGTGCAAAGACATACAGAAATAACTATAACCATAAAGTACAACTTTAAGAGATAAAAATGTTGACTTGTTATTCCTGTCATTGACACATGCGTAGGTTACCTATTTCTGCACTATCAGTTACATGGAAATTAAATCTGAATGAGGGGCTGTCCATCTGCTATTTATAGTGACATCCTGGTCTAAGGGAAGGTATCTTGCAGGTCTGGAGATGAAAGTTAAATGTTCAGAGATAAGTGTATTGACATGAATGCTCTTAGAGATGCTGCCTTTGAGTTCATGTTCAACTAAACCTAGGGTCTACTGGAAACTCTAGTTTGGGATCTAAGAACTTTGACTTTGATAAGAATTTAAATAGTCCTGTAAATCCTGATCCATTGTTATGGTTTGGGTTAGGGCACTATGCCCCTCATCCACATGAAAATATAAATTGTTCATCATTTATATTGGTATCTTTCTGGTGCTCCTAGAAATGAGTATGTTCACCTGATTTCAAAAACAACTTCTTAACTTTGTACGTGAGGATTTTAGGGTGGATTCTATATGCCAGACTTCATTTATATGGAATAGATGGAACCCAGTACCTTTGCATGTAGAAAGAACTAATAAAGCATTAAGAATTAGGAATCACAATACTAGCTTCTCTTAAGCATCAAGGTGATTAAAAAGCATTGTGTGAATTTTGTTAATGACATAAGTCTTGAGTGAAAATCCCAAATGATGACAAAGTTTTGGAGTATTTCAAGAATATTGACAATGTGATTTGACCTTTTGTATGAGTGTGTCTGTTTCTAAAATGTAGAATGTTTTGAAATAGGCCAGAATAAGGAAACCATAAAAGTAAGAGGTCACATTTCTAGATTGCATTTTTGTTTCTCTTTTCAGTTCCCAAATCAGTAGTAATTTGCACAGTCTTTTCTGAAACCTTATACAAACCAGGCAAGTTTTTATGACCTGCATTCTATGCACATGTGTCTTGGTTATGCATACCGATCTATATATGTGTGCATGCACACTCATTTGTTGTCTAAAAGTGGCCTTGTTTGAATGCTCTTCTAAGGTAAATGAAGCAAACTGCTGTTCAATACATACCTTTTTTCTTCATTTATCCAAAGGGAGTTGTTGCATGCGATGGCAAAAATTTTAATTATTCCAGAATAGTAAAAACATTATCTGGCTCTAAATATAACTGATTTTTTTCTCTTTCAGAGACCATTTTAAAGTGACTTTACCTAAGAATGCATTAAAAACTTACCTATTTTAATTAAATATTTTTGGTCACTTTTAAAGCCACATAACTCATCAGAATGGTTTGCAAGTCTGTCCACATTTTGTGGGGCATGGGATAGGATCTTACTTTCATGGACATCCAGAAATTTGGCATCATGGTAAGGAAGTTAATTTGGGAACTATTTATTGGATGGAATCAGAATAAGGCAGTTTTGCTCCTGATGTTCCTCTAACTTTGAATTCATATGATCATCCTTTTGTGTGCATGCATGTGTGTGTGTGGGGGGAGTTACTTAATTGTAACCAGCACATTACTATGTTACTGGATTAGAGCCCAGCAGTTTCAGTCTCCGAATAGGGTTTATTTTGCTTTTTGTCTTCCCCTGAAGGGTGATGGCTGGAAGGCACAAGGGGTATTTGTCTAGAAAAAGTTACTAAAAACAAAATGCCACTGCGTCATTGTCCCAGCAGCATGCACATATGACTGTTTTCTATTTTTCTTTTTCTACCCCCTTCTCTAACCGCTGACTGTTGTGGTTAAACTTCATTACATCCTACACAGCGTTGACAGCTGATGTATTTAGCAGCATGTACTCTTTAGTGATTTCTAGACCCACCCTTGTATTCCTTCCCTAGACCTCCTGCTTTTCACTGCCTGGGTGTGCACCCTACAATGAGAAGGCAAGGGTGGGCCAGAAGCAGTGGTTAGGGTAGGAGGCAGTTCTATAGAGTGCCCCCCAGGGGCTGCACACCTGGACAGGGACCGAAGGAAAGTTGGACCTTGACCTGTGTGCTTGGGGTAGAAGCAGTTCCGAGAAGAAATACTGCCTAGAACCCATTCCCTGGAAGATCCCCATGGACCCAGCAGGTCAGAATTCCTTTTGCACCAAAGAGTCCCACCTGAGGCAGCTCAGGAGTGCAGAAAGAGTGTCTCAGGCGTGTGCCCCACCCTGCACCAACACTCAGAGTTATTTCAAGTCACCCCTCTCCTATTAGCCTCCTGCTTTAATCTGCACCCTAAGGGACTGCCTTCCCTTTGTATCAGTTCCCCAAGATGCCTTTCTCTTTGGGGTGGTGGGCAGGGCCTAGGACCCAGTGAAGCCAGGAGACCTGGAAGCAGGTGGCCAGGACACTGTGGAGGTTGTCTAAAACCCGCAACAGGTGTCTAAAACACCCCGGCTGCCTCTGGTAGACCTTGGTGCACCCTTCCCAGGAGCCTTGACCCCAAGCAAAGAAAATGCAAAGGCTAAGGCTCAGAACCCCATCCCTTGGTGATAGCCACTACCAGGTTTCTAGAAATCTCCATCCTTCCTCATACCCTAAAAGAAAAACATTTTTTAAAAAAGACCAAGCTTTTTTTTGAGCAGTCCTGCCCCTCTAATTCTGTTTTTCTTTTTCTCTCCATTTCTCACTCCCCCTACCCCGTATTTTTTGTTTTGCAGCAAATGACAGCGATCTACTCATGGAGGAGGGAATGGCGTTCACCATAGGTCAGTGCCCAAGCTCCCCTTCAGAGAGCAGTGGCTTCCTGGATGGAAGCAGCAGTGCTGGCCTAGGCCCGGCAGTCCCGTGAAGGAATAATAAAGCCAATCAGTGTAATGAAATAATTCAGATGCATAGCAAATCTGATTAAATAATATCCTTGAGCCCCATCTTCCTAAATCAGATACTTACCGACACATTTAGGAGACGGCAGCCATCCAACCTCTAATTCTGTTACCAGCATAATGTGGTGTTTGTTTTTTTTGTTTGTTTTGGTTTGGTTTTGGGGTTTTTTTGTCTTGTTTTGTTTTGGTTTTGCTATGATATTGCTAAATTCTAACAGTACCCCCCCCCGCCAAGTTCTTTCTTATAGCATCCACTTCTAATTTTTTTTTTTTTTTTTTTTGGGTTCCCCCCCCCCCCGTAACACCCAGTAACTAGAAGTGATCATGTCCCTTGCTCCTTGTCGGCAAGTGATACGTACTGTCTGGCCGCCCATTGCTGGCTGATCATGTGATTGGTGTCACCACCAAATTCCAATCATCTAAGACCCTAAAGGCATCATATTTCTGACTGTGGTACTTAATGGAGAAGCAATTAGCGTGAAATAAGAAAATTGTTATTTGCTGATTAATGAACATTTTAAGCATGTTTTAAAAATTCAAATATTTTTAAAAACTGACTGGTATTTATAAGAGGGACTGGTGTTTGGGTGGTTATTATCCACGGGGTCCTAATTAAGGCTTGATTAAAATGCCCTTTTTTTCTCAAAAAAATTACGAACTAGGCAACTTCATACATTTTTGAATGCGGTAGTGTTTGCTCTTCCTACTGTTTAGTTTGCAGTATACTATGTAAGCAACATCAATTATCAGCCCTTGTGAGATGACAACAGGAACCCGTGGGGGAAGCACTTGGGGGGAGGGGAGGAGGACCTTCTTATTCTCTTTTTTCATAATCAGCCGAAACAATATTTGACAAGAATCTGATTAGATCCCTGCAGTAAATATTTTCCCTCTTACAGAGCCAATCATAACCGAGGGATCCCCTGAATTTAAAGTCCTGGAAGATGCCTGGACTGTGGTCTCCCTGGACAATCAAAGGTGTTTGCTTTCTGTGTCACTGCTTTTAAAATGATATGGGAAGGGAAGGTTGGTCCGACGGCTCGCGCGCTCTGCTCTTCCCCGACCCGCCGGCTCGCGCGCCTTCTGACCGCTGCGGTGTGTGTTTCAGGTCCGCCCAGTTCGAGCACACAGTTCTCATCACGTCGGGGGGCGTGCAGATCCTGACCAAACTGCCCCAGGAGGCCTGAGGAGCCGCCCGAGGGTCGCAGAGGCCGGGCGCTTTTTTTCCTAAATTGCTGAAATCCAGCTGGAGAACTTTTAGAAGACAGGCGAACCGGAGATCACGCAGTAACCAACCTAGCTTCTAGGCTTGGAAAAACCCGGTGGGGATTGGGGGCAGTTGGGAAGTCAGATCTCAAGCTCTGCCTTGGCTGCACGGCCTCGGAGGGACCGCGGCTCGCCTTCCCACCGCGGGAAGCGATTCTGGTGGGGGAATGGGGATGCTCTTGTTTGGAAGATGAGGGATTTCTAGAGATGCATGGTTTTCTCTTTTCCTTGTCTTGACCGCCCAAGTAAAAAGCTTTCCCCTCCTAAGCCCATTGTGTCTGTGGTCCTTGGTCTCCGACAGTTACTAGAGGGAGAGGGTAGATGGTTAATTTTTGATTCTCTGAACTTTTCACATGGGCGCATGGGGGAAAGAATGAGGCTAGATGTTAGCTGGGAATTTTTTAAAAGTCTCTTCTTTCCCCCTTGTGAATCCCACATTGGCACCAGCCCTTCCAGTTCTTTTCCCTTCATAGCTGCTTTGTGATGAAAAGATTAGCCCACAAACGGTGGGGTTGGTTACAAATATTTCCTTGCCTGTGAACCCTGGGTCTGGCCTCTACAGTGTTTTATCAGTCCACAAACAGGACCTTCCTGCTCCCCTGTGGCTCCTCCTCACACCCCTCATCCTGCCCCAAGCGGCCATCCCTGAGGTTACTTTTGAGGGACCGTCTCACCCCTCCATCTCACACACACACACACACACACACACACACACACACGACCGTCTGTTGCACTAGAAATTAGAACATTGGCTCCACCAGTCCAGGTGTGAACAGTGTCCAGCTGGTCTAGCTCCTAAGCTGACCTCTCCCCATATTGGCCTCCTTTGAACTGCACTGTCCTCCTGGAGACCCAGAGGATTCTAGCAGGGGAAGATATGGAAACTTCGGAGGGCAAGAGCCAAGTTAGCTGGGATTGGAACTGGCAAGCCTGCAGCTCCACCTGCTTCGGAAGCAGAAAATCCAAGCACCCACATTCTGCATTTCCCAAAGGCCCATTTCTGATCAGAATACCCTCCCTTCCTTAGCACGCACTACCCACTCCCCCCCAGCACCTGGGCTCAGGTGAAGAGGTGCTGGGTGTCTAGTAGGCCACATAGAGAATAGCCCCCCCTCTGGTTATAGTTTTAGGAACAAGTTTGGTGAGGGTGTCCCGGCAGCCAGGCGTTGTGCTAACTTTTGTTTCTACTGAAGCGGGTTTTGCAAAGTTGCCGCCCGCTAAATATATCTTGGGCTGGAGTGCACCAAGGAAATGCAAGCACCTGTAGTTGCCATGACAGGTGGTCTCTGTGATCAGGACCCAGGAGACACTCTGTGTCTTTGTGACACAGAGTGGTGGAGAAGAGATTGGAAACAGGTCAGTAAGTACACTTGGAAAAGTGGCTAGTTCAGGCTTTTCCCAGAACTCAGATTCTCCTGGGCACCTTCCAACGCTTCCAGCTCCCTTTCTCTGCACCCAGGGATGGAGAATTTGGACAGAGGTGATTCCAAATCAAGTGGATCTGAGAGCTGGAAAAGGCGAGGGAGGGGCTGAAGATTTACAAGGACCATAGAAAAACTTTTCGGGGTGCTTGAGACATTGGCCAAGCAAAGGCCTGGAGACTGACTACTGCTCCTGAACAATCGGATTCTCTGGGAAGGAACCTGGCCCAGATGGCCTTGGGAGAGGTTTGCCAGATAATGATTTCACGTCTCTCCTAGAGCAATCAGATTGCAACGTTAGCCACTTATCTTATCTAAGGATCAGTTTACTCCAAGTTCCCCAAGAATAATTTTATTAGGACCACAGGATTTTACCAACCACTGGGATAACATGCTGTTTGTGCAGCAATTATTCTGAGGTGGAAGTATTTATGGGACAGGTTTATAATCCTATTTATTAAAGTAACTAGTTTAAGCCTGGTTTAAACATTATACCCACATATATGCATATATACCAGCACCAGCCAATATCAGCTCCGTAGGAAACAAACTTGATTTAGAACGAACTCCCTTTAACATGCTTTGAAGTTGAAATTAGAAAGCAGATTTTAAAAAATACCATGTGCACCACCCCACCACGACCACCACCTTCCAGCTGAACACCTCACCCGGGGCCGCTGGGATTCCAGCCCACGCGTGGATACTGCTAACCCCACCGGACTCGGGTCCTGCGGTGTCTCCCACAGGTTCTACTCGGAATCCGGGCACTCAGGATAAATGTGAGGGTTGGGACAGGCAAAGATCTAAGCAAATCAACGTTTCAGAACAGGTGTCGTCTTAGCAGTGGGGATGGGTGGGAGGGATCCACTCCGGGCTCACAGAATGGAGATAAGATCGCAGGCTGCGAAGCTACTCAAGGCCCGGTGTCTCAGCGCCCGAGGGCCCCGGCTCAGCCGCCCCTCCCCGGACCTGCTTCTCTGGGGCTAAGAAATAATTCCCGAGTGTAGACACTCCCTCGCCCACATATAATGCTTTTCTAAAATAAACAAGGCTCTGAAACCGTTTCCTGAGGGGGCGCGTGCGGGTCCTTTGTTTCACGGAGCCAGCCCGGTCCCCTGCGCTGGAAAGGCTTGGATTCCCCCTCCCAGATGTGGACAGAGAGCCCTGTAGACGGTCGCGACCCGTCGCCGCCTCTCTCCCCTTCCCCCACCCTACAGTTGTCTGGAATAAACTGGCCCATGGGCCGCCCAGCCGTCGGGTTTCCTCACGTATAGCCCTGAGCTCTAGAAGTCAACAGCCACTTCCCTCGGCCCCAACCCCGACCCGGTGCCAGCCGCGGCGGTCACTTACGTGGGCAGGGCCCGCTAGAGGTGCGCGCAAGAGACCAGGGGCCCGGGCGGCATCCGTGCTGCTGTGCAGGGCGCACCGCACCACACCGCACTCCACACCCCGAACGGGCGCTAGGAAGGAGCAATTAAAACCACAAGTGCAACACGGAAATCAAGAGGAGTGGAGCGGCTCCGGGAGTAGTCTGGTGGCGGAGTCATTAGCTGGTTGTTGCTACAAAGCATCACCCTGTGGTTGGGTGATTAAGGAAAAAAAAGTCTTTTTAAAACGTTGGCAAGCCAGTTACTGGTTTGAAGGATTTTTTTGTTTTGTTTTGCTTTTGTTTTTCCTTTTGCTCCAACCACGCTGCCTGAAATATTGCTATCCCCGATACCATGCCCTTAAACCAAAGGAGAGGAATTCCGCGGGCAGCAGCTGAGGCTACAGAAGTTAAAAAAGAGAGAAGCCCCTTCCACTAATATCTGTAACGACAGCACCGATGTAATTTGTTTTGAATGTTCATTTTTATTGGTGTTCCCTCTGCCAAAATGTGCTTGATTACAGAGGTTTGTCCTGTGATCAGTGCGCACTCCAGACAGGGGAAGGTGCATCGCCGAAGGTTCAGCTCAGGCCAGATCAAATCCCGGGCTGTTTAACGCTGAAAGGCTGCATGTTGCTATTAGTGTTAAATATATGGCTAATTATGCGTATGAAAATTAAACATCAGTGTTATGCTAATGGGGCGCCTTCAGCTGCGGATCCGAGCACTTGAGACTACCATTTAATCAAATGAATCAGTAACTAATACATCTGCACGTGTGAACTTTCACAAGATCATTTCCCCGTTCCCATCACACCGCTAAATTATGAAAGAAATAATTATCAACACTTTCTAATTACCTAACAAAGTAATTTGGGATTCACCGTGGGGCTGGCGGGATGGGGAACCAACAGCCCCTCGCAGACAGCGTGGTGCGCGCCACGCCTCGTGGGGGTGGCTGTGTGGTGGCGGCGGCGGGGGGCTTTTGTGCGCTTTTCTGTACCTAGCGCCCCAGAAGATAGAAGGCGCCGTGGCAGCTTTTGCCAGCCCTGCCCCCAGGCCCAGTGGAGCCCGCTTTGGCCACTGGAGATGAGGAGGATCCTGGGCGACAATGAGAGACAAGTCTGTAACCAGATCTGCAAGCCTACCACCGGCCTGGTTTTGCCGCGGGTTTCGGTGGTCCGCAGGACTCCCAGATCCCGGGTACTCTTGCCAGACCCCAGGAGGCCGGAAAATGACCCCCTGGTATCCGAGGCTCAAGCCGAACTGAGTCCGCCGGCCCCCCGGCTCCACTCTGCGCCGCGCCCTTGGGGCAAGTGAGTCCAGGGCTTTCGGCGCAGAGGGAGTGGAGGGGAGGGAGAGGCGGAGGAAGGTTGGGAGGGAAAGAGGGGGTGTGTGTTGGGGGGAGGGGGCGGTGCGGCCGCCTTTCCTGGGAGGAGAAGCGCGGGTTCCTGGCTCTTCGCGCGCTCTGCTTTAATCAGACCGGTGCAGCCTCGAGCTGGAGTGGCCAGCTGGGCCTGGAGCAATGCGAGCGGGCCCCAGGGAGCGGCGGCGGCGGCGCGGCGGCCGAGTGAGTGAGTTCGCCTGGAGGGCCCCAAACCCGACCCCAGGGATGTGGCAGAGCGGACCCAGGCCAGGGAGGCGCCGCCAAGGAGAGCGCTGCGCTAGGCACACGACTCTCGAGAGGACAGCGCCCTGTTGGCCGCCTCTGGTGCCCACCCCCGCCCCCCGCAGTGTGCGACTTCGCGCTCCGAGGCCGCGGCCGGGGCTCCAGAGCCGCCCTAGCTGAGCGCCGGACCTGGTGACGGCGGCTAGGAGAAGCGGTGCCCCTGTCCCGGTGTTGGGGGCGGGCGGAGGGTGGGGACAGTAGTGGGGGGAGGGCGGCTGCGCCGAGCCGCTGGTGGGTTTCTGGGAAGTAAGGCGCGCTGGGGAGGCGGGAGGCTGAAGAGCCACGGGCCGCTGAGGTCCCCGCGCGGGCGCTGCAGCCCATTGTGCGCTCCACACCGCGCGCTCTGTTGCAGAGGAGCCCCGGCCGGGAAGTGTGGACGCGTTTCTCCCGAGGCCGGGCCGCCTCGCCCGCTCTAGTCCAGCGGAGCCGGAGCGCCTCGGACCAATCCCCGGTGATTATGCAAGACAGCGGACCAATCAGCTCCGCCAGCTCATGAATATTTATGACCTTGGCTGAGTCAAAGCTTTGAAGCGAGTTTGGGGAGCTCGGCAGCATCATGCTTAGACTTTTCAAAGAGACAAACTCCATTTTCTTATGAATGGAAAGTGAAAACCCCTGTTCCGCTTAAATTGGGTTCCTTCCTGTCCTGAGAAACACAGAGACCCCCAAAAGGGAAGCAGAGGAGAGAGAGAGACCCACACCCAGACCCCGCGAGAAGAGATGACCATGACCACCATGCCAGAAAGTCTCAACAGCCCAGTGTCGGGCAAGGCGGTGTTTATGGAGTTTGGGCCACCCAACCAGCAAATGTCTCCTTCTCCCATGTCCCACGGGCACTACTCCATGCACTGTTTACACTCGGCGGGCCATTCGCAGCCCGACGGCGCCTACAGCTCGGCCTCGTCTTTCTCCCGACCGTTGGGCTACCCCTACGTCAACTCGGTCAGCAGCCACGCGTCCAGCCCCTACATCAGTTCGGTGCAGTCCTACCCCGGCAGCGCCAGCCTCGCCCAGAGCCGCCTGGAGGACCCAGGTACGTGCGCCTGCCAGGGAGAGGGAGAGGAAAGGGTACGAAGGGAGAGAGGGACAGAAGGAGGGAGGAAGGGAGGGGGGGAGGAAGAGAGAGAGAGAGGAGGGAGAGGGGGAGAGAGAGGTGGGGGTGGGGAGGACGCCGGAGCAATGGAGGTTTCGGGTATCAATCTATGTATGGATCCTTGTCATAGCAAAGAAAAAAAAAATTTTTTTTTAATTCCACCCAACTCGCAACTATCCAGCAAAGGATAAATCCGAGAGCGTCCCTTGGCACTGTCTAGGCCTCTGGGCGGCTCTGTGCGCCGAGCACACAATGCCCCTTTGGAAAACAGAAACCCACATGTGCACGTATTAGTCTCAGTAATTATTTATTGCGTAGCGCTATAAACAATGTATGCAATTAAGGGTAATTAAACCTCAGCTACCGCGTGCAAAAATAGCAAACTTTCTCTGCAAAGGCAGGAACTGCACGCCTGGGAACTGCCCCAGTCCGCCTGCAGCGGCCAGGTCCGGCCCTCGGACTTTACGGGACACTTCCCTGGCTTTCGGAGTTTCTTGAGCGTTCTCTCTCGGCCCAGCCTCTGTCACCCCTCGGTTGCCACTCACCCTCGGCTCCCCGCACTAAAGGCTGTCCCTGCATTAACAGCAGCCCCCCCGCTTCTGCTGTCCCTCCAGGGGCTGACTCCGAGAAGAGCACGGTGGTGGAAGGCGGTGAAGTGCGCTTCAATGGCAAGGGGAAAAAGATCCGCAAACCCAGGACGATTTATTCCAGTTTGCAGTTGCAGGCTTTGAACCGGAGGTTCCAGCAAACTCAGTACCTAGCTCTGCCCGAGAGGGCGGAGCTCGCGGCCTCCTTGGGACTCACGCAGACGCAGGTACCTTGCCGCTGCCCCTCTGCCAAGCGGGCTTCCCGCGGCCGGCCTGCGCCCGGAGCTTCATTTCTCGCTCTCTGGGCCTCAGGGTCGGAGACTGTGTGTGTGTGTGTGTGTGTGTGTGTGTGTGTGTGTGTGTGTCCGTCCGTCCGTCCGTCCCACCCCTGGCTCTCCCTGCGTCTCTCCTTCCTCCCTAGTTCTCTCTGCCCTGGCTCTGTCGCTGCACTCTACTCCGCGCTGCCTGCCGCCCGGCCCTCACTCCCTGGACAATCTGATTAGGGCGCGGAAGGATTTCCCTAGACGTTTTGTTTGGGGACTCTGAGGTCACACGTGCCCGAACAACTGGAACAATAGACGCTGGGCTTAATCCTTTCTTTGCCTTTGAAGTGTGTGGCTAATCACTCAGGGCCTGGGCCGAGCCTCAGTCTCCCTCCTCCTCCTTCTCACCGGGTTGGGGTAAGGGGAAGTCCTTTCCTCCGCCTTCTCACCTCCCCAGTCCCAGACCCTGGAGGAGGATTGCTCTAAGACTCTAGGGGAGCCCATGGGCTTTCTGATCACGACTGGCGCGGGTTTCCAACGTCTGGGCCGGGATTTGGAGCAGAGCTGGGGAGAGCAAACAGACACTAAGGAAAGGTTGATGTAAGTCCAAATGAAAAGTTTAACAAAACCTTTTGGCCTCCTCAGTCAGCCCCAACTCAAAGGCAGAAAGGATGGAGCAAAGAGAAAGCAGGTGGCATTGCAAATAAATTTCCTCCACTCCTTTCCTCCACTCGGTTCTTTTATTGATGTTCACATTGGACTTGAAGACTCGATGTTGTGCAGGTGCTGCTTCTTCCCCCAGACGATTGCCAGGGTCGCGCTGAGTCCCTGACAAACGAAGGCCTGGATCCCCACTAACTCCTCACCACCACGCCCCCTTGGCTCTCTGAGAGCTGGCCCCTGCGGGCCACCGGCGGCTGGCAGCCCGGCCTCCGAGGCTTTGGTTCTTATAGGTGGTGGTGGGGCTCTGCTCCTCCAGCAGGGAGCTGCCCAGTCGCGCAGGGCGGCGAGGGGAATCCTTTCTCCCCTGTCCCACAGCCCCCTTACCTCCCCGAAGACCACGGTAGGCACAATGGACCTAGCCGAGTCACATTATTGTCCGCTCTTGCAGGTCAAGATCTGGTTCCAGAACAAGCGTTCCAAGTTCAAGAAACTGATGAAGCAGGGCGGGGCGGCTCTGGAGGGTAGCGCGCTGGCCAACGGCCGGGCGCTGTCTGCCGGCTCCCCGCCAGTGCCGCCCGGCTGGAACCCCAACTCTTCATCTGGGAAGGGCTCGGGCGGCAGCGCGGGTTCCTACATCCCCAGCTACACGTCGTGGTACCCCTCGGCGCACCAAGAAGCTATGCAGCAACCCCAACTCATGTGAGGTTGCCCGCCCGCACCCTCCCGCCTCCTTCCCGTCTCCCCCACCCTGGCCCGGGCCCCTCCCGCCTCCCGGTCCAACCACCCTGTCCGCAAGCCCTGGGCCTGGAGAGGGACCCAGGGGCAAAGAAGAAGGAACAGCGAAGGCAGGACGCCCGCCATCTCCTTGGAGTCCCGCGCGGTCTGGACCGGCGACTTCCCGGCGCCCACGCCCTCGCCCTCGCCCCGGCCTAGGCCGCGCGGTGACAGCAGACAGCGGCCTCCGAACGCAGGCACAACCTCCTGAGACAGCCAGAGCTGCAAGACGAGCCAGCCGGACCCAACTCGCCGACCCTCAGCTGTGTGGGACTACCAGGAAAAAAACAAAACAAAACAAAACAAAAAAACACCCACAAAAAAAAAACAATGTAGAAAAAGCAAAAGCTTTTTTTTCTGTTCTGTCTGTCTCTTGTCTCCTTTCGCTCTGTATCTGTGCGCTGATGAAGTCGAGGTCCTCGTCTGTCCGCTGTCCTCACTCTGCGGCCTCTGAAAGAAGTCACCAGGTCGGAAGAGGCTCGGGCCGCCGGGCCGCCCAGCTCCGCATGCTGGGACGTTTTGTCCTTTCGGACCTTCTCCTGGGCCTGCCTAACCATCTGGGTAGCTCGTTTGGGAATTGGGGGAAATTGGAGGGAGGGGGCTTTATTTATTGAGAAATGGACTTCGCCTGAGGGTGAATGTTGGCCACTTCGCAGTTCTGTGGAGCGCAAGGAGCGCATGGTCCAAAAGTACCGATTACTTCAAACGCACTCGGAAAACCGAATAAGGAGGACCTGGTGATTTTTAACTTATACAGTAACTTTTGTACTTCGCTGGTATGGAGAGGTTGGAACCTAATGCTTTGCATTTTTACATGTTCCGCATTATTTTTGAAAGAAAAAAAAAGAGAGAAATGAAGCCAACACAATATTCTCATCTCGGGGGAAAAAGACTTGGTCGCTTTGCCCGGACAAGAAGGAAGATCCTAATTCCCTCCTCTGGAAGCTTGAGAGAGGACCGATGGGCAGTGAAGAAAAAACAGGCAAGCATAAATGAGTGCCCTAAAGCCAGTGAGCTTTAAAGTAAGACAAAAGCAGCACTAATCCCCAGAGGCTCGACCACAGAATAACGCCAGGCAGCACCCTGGCCGCCCAGTCTCCAGTGCAGGATCTAATCGCTGTACATATTATTATTGTTGTTAATTATTATTGTTATTATTATTGTTCCGTAAACATGTTGCACAAGCTTAGCTTTTTTCCGTTCTGTTGTGTGTGGCTGTAAAACCTGATGCTTTGTGAAATGAGAATCTTGACATTTTACTTGTGAAATTTGGAAAATGTGATCAATTGAAATCAACCGTGTTTTGTGTTCTCTATGTCAAAGTTTAGTTTTATATTGAGAATGTTAACTTATTGCTTTGTATCTTGGAAAAAAAGAACTTTGTAAATAAGTTATAAAGTTTCTTTGAGACAGTAAAATTATGGTTTCGAGAAAGAACTGCTGTCTGGTGTGCTGTGTGAGGGGCTGCTGTGGGCTGGGCCGGGCCTCCACCTCTGGGACAGATAATGCAGAGGTAGGGACTCCTGGCTCCGGACATACCAGAATAAAGGGGAAGGCCCTCCCTAGACGTTAGGACCGTTCATCTTGCTCTGCTTCTGGCCCCCAAGGGGTCTGATTCCTACCTGGGTTGGAAGGGTGGGCAGCGACTGTCTGGCAAGGGTCCTTGGTGGGGGGGATCAGGAACAGGTGCTGTGTGACAGAGCGGGGTCTCAGGAACCAAAAGGACTGTGAAAGCTGGCTGAGGGGAGATGAAAGCAGAGCTCAAAGGCAGCCGGTATGGGAGACTTGAGTGCCACCCCACACCCAGTTACCTCGCCGGAAGCCTAGAAGACTGAAAGCAGAGACGCTAGGCTTTGCCCCCTCGCCATCGCGGCGATCTGGCCTTCCGTCTTTTACTCGCCTCCAGGGCGCTCGATCCCCACGCGGAAAAGACGCGGCCAGACACTGGAGAGGGGCCGGAAGGACTCCTCTGTCGGGCTTCACCCGGTCAATCAGTGAGCTCTGGGGGACAGTCCCAAGGCGCCACCTGGGCCCCTCCACAGTCACCCTCACCCGTCGGGCCCATCCACAACGAGAAGCCCCTTCCCTCCTAATGATCCCCAGCTTCTCTCCGCGCCTCAGATGGAAATGCCAAGGGAAGGGCTGGAGGGCTCCGCTGACTCCTTGGAACCCAGGAGCTGGCCGAGTCAAGACCCCCCACCCTAGCCCGACAGTCCTGAGGCCAGGTCAGTAAGGGGGCACCTCCAGTGGAACCCTCCGATGAATTCTCTCCAGGAGAAAGTGGACTTCGAGCAACTAGAACCAGCCTGGCTCCCTCCACCCGGTGGCCCGGAGTCTCACCCCAACCTCAACCCCAGACCCCACAGCCGAGCCGAGGAAGCTCAGGGAAGCTGCGGGGCCCCGTCGGGCTGCTTTGAGCGATTCCCGCTTCCCTCGCACTCGCCTTGCGACACTGCTTCCTGCGGGCTGGCCCTCCGCCTTTGGGGGGCCCTTTGCAGCGCGCCGTGGGGAGCAAAGCGGGGAAGGCAGTGATCTGTGTTGTGACAAGCACCCATTTTTCAATTGGTGCTGGTTAAAGAGCAGATGCTCCAGGCTCTTCTGACGCCCTTTGGGAAGGGGAGGGGAAGTGGTGGAGGGGCGGTGATGGAGGGAGCCGGGGACCTCGAGGCCCCATCAGGGCCTGGGATTGGGGCTTTTCCTCTCCCGCAGGTCTCCAGAACCCGGAACGCAAATGGGGGAGATCATTAGCGGGAGCGGACGGGCCTCAAAGCTGAGAGGAAACAGGATTTCCCAGGCGGGGTTCGGCTGCCGCCCGGGTAGGGACCTTCAGGGATTTGGTTTTCCCTGGAGATGTGACTTTGCTAGAGGGGAGGTTTTGGTGGGTTGCTCTTACTCATCCAACTCCGGTGCTGCAGCCAGGGCCCAGCGCCTGAAACCACAGGCAAAATCTGTTTGGTCAAGCGGATTTTAATATTTTGAGATATTAGCTTATACTAATTTAATAATCTCTTGCTAACAGTTCAAATAGAGAAATTATTAGTTTTAGCTCAACGAAGGCGGTCTTTAGTTAGGCTCTATTATAATTATAAGCGGTTGCACTTTTAAAAAATGTTAATCTCAATATAGGCCTAATTAATGCTGCCTTGTTACTGACAAGTAGTTCATCAAATATCTGATTCAAAGATTTTCATAATGAGTATATTAATTAAACTATGAATAATCTAAAGGTGGTTATATTTAAACAATACCTCATTATAATGATTAAATACTGATTTCGAATATTATGTCTTAACAATTGTCACTTAGAAAACACAACCTTTCCTTATGTATGAGTCTGTAATGGCAAAATGCAATTTTGGGATTTTTTCCCCCTTGTTCAAAAAATGTGAACCTCATTTTAAAACACTTCTGAAATAGGTTACACACAGCTTAATGATTATCAAAATGACTCTTTTCTGCAAAAAAAGACCCCAAAGTGCGCGTACAGCTGCAAACCCAAGAGGGTCAGCATCATTTCACTGTATTCTCTTCTTGATTACAAGCCGGGCCCATCAAACACAACATAATTACAGTAATTTCAGGTTTATTTATTCTAATGCAGTTTCCCCATCTCTCTGGTAATTATGAGCAATTTTTTCGCCCAGGGAATCTTTTTGCATTAACAAAAGAGATAACGCACTGAAAGCCAAATTTGCTGTGCATTGAGAAAAGGGAAAAAAAAAATCAAATAGGTGCGAGCTGCCATCTCTGCAATTCTCCGGTACCGGAGCCGGCAAATTGCTTGCAGGTGTATGGAGCAAGCTTGTCAATGGCCAGGCCTCCAAATTAGCAAATGCACAGCGTCGAAGTAGTGAAGACAGACTTAGCAAAATTGCCAAACAACAGATACCTCTTTAATATCTCCTCTCACACACACTAGCTCTAAAAGGGGCAGGGGTGGGGGGTGTAGGGGCACAAGCAACAGTCCCCAGCCCCCTTGTCCCTGGTCTTGGCTTTCATAAGCCTGGGACTGAGTGGTCCTGCAAGTGGTAGTCTCATTGTGCAAGAATCCAGCTTCTAAATCTAGGCAATATTTTAAAAATATGAGATTGGAAACATGTTTATAGTTCACAGCTTTCGTTTTATGTTTTCTTTTTCTTTCTTTCTTTCTTTCTTTCTTTCTTTCTTTCTTTCTTTCTGGGATCCAAACCTGGGCTGGGTCAGATGGCTCTTCAGCCTTCCCTATTAGCTAGCTTTAAGAGCTACAAAAAGTTTAAAAATTCCTCTATCTATATGCACAGAAATACGAATTTATTCTTAGAATCATTTGATGGAGATATTAACTAAATCGCTCCTCTTGAAGAAATTGTCCATTTCTGTCACCAGTGGAAAGGTAGGTCTGGGTGCTGGATATAGAACCTGAGATACTTGATCCCAAGAAAAACTGAGAGGAAAGAAGCAACCCAGGTCCCCGGCTGTAATTTTTTTTATCCTGTTATCCATCTCTTTCATTCTGTATCTTTTAAAAACCGATTTCAGAATTCTCTGGGTTTTGTCAAGCCACCGCCTGGGTTAAACATCCTGAAATCACAGGCTAAAGCGAACTTTTCTGTTCCTCATCCCGCACAAGCCAGAGGCACCTCCATCAAATGCAGTACGGAGGGTAAGGGTCTGTCCCTCCCATGACTCAAAGAAACCCTCCTTCAGTCCCCAGCTCCACAGCAGACCCCAACTCCAGTGTAGACAGGCAAACGGCTCTAAAGGGTGCCTTCCCCAGGCTCAAGAAACCTGTCACCCACACCCACTCCTTTGCTACCCCCGCCCTCATTCCCCAACCTTCAGGGATTAACACTTCCTGAAACATCAAGTGTTTTTATAAAAAGGAAAAAAAAATAATCCTGACATCGCTGACAAGAAGTTTTGATGGAAGAATTAGCTGGTGCATACATAATCACTCCCCCACCCTCCTACTCCCGGAGCGGGAGCCACCTCGGCGGGCGCAGCGCAGCCTTCCAACCCTCTGAAAAATGAAACCAGTTTCCACCCTTACCTTCTTCAGTGTCAATTTCAGATAATCTGGACACAATCTTTGCTAGATCAAATCAAAAGGGTCGAAGG